ACACACACACACGCACACACACACACACACACACACACACACACACACACGAGCGCACACGCACGCGCACGCACACAAACACGCACACAAACACACGCGCGCACGCACGCACGCACGCACGCACGCACGCACACACACACACACACGCACGCACGCACGCACGCACGCACGCACGCACACACACACACACACACACACACACACACCTTCAGCTTGGGTACTCGCTTGATGGTCTTCAGAGGTCGCAGCACTCGGAGAACACGTAGGGACTTAATGGTGTTGAGGTTCTTGCCGGCCCCGTTATTACTTCCCACGGAACTGTCACCAAAACAAACATGATTCTGATCGATAAGCCGAAGTTTCGATCACGACATTACTAATATAAGAATTGGCTAATAAGCAAAATCTATTGCTCGTACATGTCACCCGGCTCATGGAAGGACTTAGCGGACCAGTTCTCGTTCGTACTGTTGCGGATGCTGTTAACTGGGATTTTACTTCAGCAGACAACTTGAACGCATTAACTGGTCAGATGACGACCAATTATCAGAGAAATCTACGCTGTACACGTAACATGTTACTTATTACACTATATTGATTACTTACATTTAAACATATTAAATTTATTCTACGTTTGCTGTGCAAGTATATCACTACATATTCGAAATGCAAGAAACTTCACAACTAAATATTATTAGTCTACTATTATACTGCACGAGCACTAGATTTGTTTAATCGAAGCAAAAATGCGACAGCTATATAAATAAGTTAATATATAGCTTAAAATTTGAAGTGCCGCAGGTCCTACTAGTGTGTGCAGTGTTTGGAAGTAACCAAGGAAAACAAACAAGTTCACGTTTGAATAAAGGTAAATGTGTAAAAAAATATACATACATTACAAGCATTACTGTGTATATTTATTCGTAAATATGCTATTACGTTTACTCACCCAAAGTAGAAAGCTACCAAGGCACACATGACTACTAGTGCATCTAAAAGATTCCATGGGTCTCTGCAATAGGCGCCGGGGTGGAGTATCAGCCCTAGATCTATCACCTGCAATAAAGATATATGGCCCATTAAATAATAATAATAATCAAATTGCTGCCAATTCGCTAATAAAGGTAATAAAATAGGGCTTGCCTCTGTTCCACCAAAAAAGTTATATTCAGCAATACTGACACAATTCAGTCAATATTTGGATTAAACCAGGGTTGACCAGTGCGTCACGGAATTAAACTATTTTGCGTAATGAAATGGTTTTGAATGATTTGTAGAGAAAGCCTAACCATAAACTTGTCGTCTGTGAATAATGAAAGTCCATTTGGTAATGAAAGCCTTTGCTGAATTTCCTATGAGTTAGATTTTTAGATATTAAAGTCGAATTGACAATTTTGTTAAACAAATGAGTATAACATCGGATCAATATGTTTAACTTTCAATTACTAGTGGAAAGCAGCTAAAATAATATAAAGGAACTACGACTTGCGATTTGGTAGGTAAATTAATGTAAGGCTGCCTGCTTCTTTAAAATTTATATAATAACAGATGATTAGAACGTTTGATCATGGGTTATTTTAACTTTCTATGATCATAATAACAATAGCAACAGAACGAACGATTAAACAATAAACAATAACGATTAAACAGTCACTGTTCATTTCTATAATCGTATGCAATGGCTATATCCCTAGGTGGATTCTGCGAATATAATGGGACAAAAGACGATCACACCTTTTATGATTATCAGGATCGCAGAGACAGCGGCACCATTATAGCTTCTTAGGATGTATTTATGGCAGGGAATGGCCGTGACATGAATGGCTTTTATGACGTTGACTGTTTTCGCAGCAAAAGTTTGACTGCGCTCGAATCCCGAATTAAAGTGACAGCGCGAGTGTAGAGCCGGATGCACGATAGCCGGCGAGAGCAATCCTTGAGACTCGCCACTATAAAAGTAGCTTATTCATTCCGCATGAACTTGCACGGACGTGCAGGCATGCAAACGTCTAACGGCACCATATCTGCACTACTTTGCATTTTATTATGTTCCGATTACGACTATTCCCACCCGACCGACGAATAGATCTAGGTTTCGATTCAGTTAACGATGTGCAATTTCCCTTTTATATATATATATATAAATATTTATTTATTTATTTATTACGGCATCAATAGTTGGGAATATGAGTAGATATTGTATATAGAGCACGACAAGCCAAAGGAGAAAGTGAAAGACAGATAAAGAGTTGCGTGTCTGAGTGTGCGTGTGTGAGAGAGAAAGCGAGAGAAAGCGGAAGGTGGTGGAAAGTGAGAGGAGGGAGGGAGATACCAACAGAGTGAATGAGAAACAGAGATAGGTGTTATGCGTCTCAGACTACGACAACGGGTTACCTGTATAATGAACCAGAGTTCAGCGGTTCGCGGCAATAGACGAGTAGTGAAAAGAAGGTGATGTCTATAAGCCAGTTCGTTTGGCTAAACCTGAGAACACATTTAATTTAGCAACGCGCACGCGCGTGGAACACGAAAAATATGGGGTCGGAAATATATCGCGCCAAAATTGTATTTCATAAACAACAGCAGTGTATAGACCAAGATGAGGTGGGCGTATTCTGACATGACTATATGCTGGATCGGGGCGCTATCGGGCATGGCTCACATGTTTGTATACTGTCCGATTAATTTCAAATTAACGCTAGCGCACCACCGCACCACGAGGTCGAGGACGCGTTCTTTGAGTGTAGCAGAGTTCCAATCGCGCAAATTGAGAAAATGAAATGCGAGAAAAGGGTGGCATATATAGGCCTATATATATCAAGAGCTAATAATATCATATAGCATGTACCTTATAATATGTATTATTAGCTCTTGATATATATATATATATATATATATATATATATATATATATATATATA